ACGATGGGTGTGGTAGCTGTGTTGTGTGTGTCTTTGTGTTTGGGCTAGGAAGCCATGCGGTAGTTGTACTTGTAACTTGCGATCAGCAATTTATGAAAGGATATTATTAAGGTCTACTTAATTAAACACGTCAATTTCAATCAAGAAATTAGCACTTAATTTGCAGTTTATGTTCGTTGTTGTATGCTCATGATTTATTCATTTTTTATCAACCTTTGATCAGTGACAGTTTAATTATTATTATTTATTAGCCCTCATCTCTTAAGAAGTAAATGAACAATGAGGCGAGGAAGCATTAATGAATGCACTCCCTTTGTTCTTTGTTATGAAAGCCCATTAACAACTTTTTTATTAATTAAAAAAAACATATAGTTAAAATTATTAGTTTCCGTTTCCAGGAAAAAAATGAATATTTTTATTTTTTTATCGAAAACAATTCTATTTAAAGTATAGTGGGGTACTGAGATACTTTTCTTAATTTTTTTTATTTATATACTCCCTCTAATCTTATTTATAAGTTATTTCTATCATATTTTACCGAAATAAAGAAAAAATTTAAACTTTATTAACTTTGTCTTAAAATTTAATAACTTTATACTTTTACCCCTACTTAATATTTTTAAATTTTATTATTGATATTTTTATTCAAAGTATTTAATAAGGAAAAAAATGTAAAGGGAACTTTAAAATATAAATAAAATTAAATCTTTTTTTCTTTCTATCCTATAAATAAGACCAGAGTATTAATTTTGAACCATCTTAAATTCAGTTCATAAAATAAAAGTATGCTAGGATGAAGATAATAGCAAGAGCTAGAATATGATTATCTAAACAAGGTATCAATTTTGAATTTTAATATCCAGCAAATTATATCTTTTTTAATATTAATCAGGCAACTATTAATCAAGATTTCATTTAAAGTGATATAAAAATATAATGAACACGAGTTTTCCAATCAATAATTTTTCAGGAATGGATTAATTATCCGAAATTAATAGTATGTGAATTTGACGAAGTTTTTTTTTAAAAGAAAAGAGAGAATATTTTATTTTATAAAAATAATAAAACGAACAAAAATAACAAATAATCAACACACATTTATCAACACCATAGAGAATTTAATTCATATTATATCAATTTAAATAAGTCTTGCACATCACCTTTTAAAAAAAAAGGAAATTCAATTTAAAATAAATGGAGAGAGGGGCCAAAGAATGAATGGTTAAAAATATGGGTTTGGTGATGAAATAAATAAGGTAAGATATATAAAGCCGTGAAAATGGAAAAAAGAGAAATATATGTGTGGGTGGGTGTGGGTCCCAGTTGGCCATTTCACCAACCTGCTCATCTTTTCACGCCGGACTCGCAACAGGGGGTGGCCTTAATTTCGTGGCTTTAATTTTTTATGTTTTTTTTTTTAAGTGTAAGCATGAAATATAAAACGGCTTATTGAGGGTTTACACCCCGTCTGATCTTATTCATAGGATAAATTTTTTTTTAATCTCATGTATAAATTATATTATTAAATTTTTATTATAAATTTTTTTTATTCTTCATTAAATATTGAAGAGAGAAAATATATCATTAACAATATGAGAATGAACAAGTCATCTTATTATGAAACCAATACAGAATGAAATCAAGTGAAATTAGATTTATAAACAAGTGAAATAAGAAAACAAATAACATTCCGTAAGTAAATAAATAATATACAATATAAAAACAAATAAATTATTTATACTGTTTATTTAAATGAAAGCAATTTTATTATTTTCATTATAAATTCAGGAAAAATTCAGTACAAGTGCTTTAGTGAAGTTTCAAAAATTTTGGAGTCCTCTTTTTTATTAAGTTTGGTCGAAGGTTCCTAATTAAAATGTTTCTTTAATTTTGTCTAATCTATATTCCCACACAAAATACGATGACTTATTAATCATGCATGAGTATATCATAAATTATTAATTTCTTCATTCATTCTATCTTCCACGTGCTAATTTCAAATGCAAGTTTATACCTAATCACAGTTATAATTCTAGGCAAGACATTTTCAAACTCGTTTTTATATTTTTATAATATAAAACATATATATATTATAGTATATGATTAATATAAATAAATTAATTTATGCATTGAAATAAAATAATTTTATACTGATTTCAAACTATATGTTTAGTTAAAATTTATGATCTCGGGTCTCGGCATAATAATTAGAATGAGACCACCGGGCGAAAAGTTTAACTAATTTTTTTAACAAACGATGAGTGACTGGCGTGGTGGCTTGCCGTCATTCCGCTTGTCCAGGGCCACCCGTATTTGATATTCCTAAAGAAGGAAAAGAAAAATCACAATTTGAAAAGGAAAAAAAAAAAAAAAAGGAAAGAAAGAGACGTCCGACGTGTTTTGTATCATACCTACCACCCAGCAAGAATATGGCAATTATCAAAATTTCGAATGTATTCTTAAAGTCTCACATTATTTATAATTTCTGAACGTAACTTTCCTTCAAGCCATTATGTTATAAGAGTGATTCCATCTATGCAATTTCACGCCACGCAAACCATTTTTTTGTTTGGGGGACAAATCACGAATTGCAAAATTCTAATGGAGCTCAATTGTCAATTGGATTATAAATAACAAGTTAAATATAAACAAAATTTAAAAAAAAAAAAGAAAAAAAGAAAACGATGTTCACGCCTTAACCCCTGATATTGAAATCAAAACATTTACTTTTTAGAATACTATTCACACCTCACGCATATGCTTTTTCGTAATTTGCAGCGTTCTCCCCAAATCTCATTCCCAAACACTAGAACTTCTCCGTGGTTATTTTTGGGCATCTTCTCTAACCTTCTTGTGAGGTTCGTTCCGAGGACGTATTGATCATAATCTCCATGAGATTTCCGATAGTATTTTGTTTTCAATTTATCCTGTCAACATAGATCTATATCTACCAAATTTTTAATTTGGAGGACTTTGATTTGGTCCCTATATAAAATCCCAATATCTTTTGTTTCTCGTATTTATTTTTTTTAAACCACCTTTAATAATTACACACGTTAACGTGTGCAATCAATAATAATAGTTCTCAATATAAAAGTTGCAAATACCATAAGTTTTTTTCCCCCAACAAATACCTAATCTAACTAATATTTTAATATGCATGAATTGATTATCTAGCCATTGAATTCACTCATCTTGTGAAAGGTCCCAGGTTCAATCCCGTTTGCTTTCAAATACCTCTGTGTTAAAAAATAATAATAATAAAGTAACGTTGACCCTTAAAAGAAACTGCAACAATCATTTATCAATGAATAATGGTGAAATGTAAGTAGAATTAATTTAAGGAGGGTAAATAAATTAAAGCGAGGACACTTAAATGTTGGTTTTCATAGAAAGGTAAGAGGAGTTTGTGGGGGTTGGATTGAAGAGGGAAGCAAACGTAGGCAACAGGAGCATTCCAGCTACTGCAGAATGACCAGAAGGTGGGCTTACCAATTTCCGATCACGTGGACGTGTCGGGTTAGTTATATCATTAAGATAAATTGAGTTCAATTAGAAAGTCATCTTGAAAAGTATGGATATTTTTTTTAACCATTTTGACAATACAAACTAATTTAACTATTTTTCTTAATCATTATAAAATAGTTAAAAGTATATTTTAGACATTAGGGAGTATTTCGATATTGGGACACAGTTGCATTTAATTACAGTATGAAAATTCTGGTCAACTCGCCTGGTTGAATTGGTAAACTATTAAATTGGTATTTTGAATGATTTAATAAAATGCTTTGTTCATAACTGGATTGATTATAATCCAATTACAATTTTAACCATCAATCTTTAAATCAGTATCTTAACTGTTTTAATGATTGATTTGGTTTTCAATATTTTGAATTAAATGTATCACATGTCACACGAACGTGGGTTACCTTATTGGACTGCTATAATTGACTGTTGGATTTGGTTAAGAATTACTGATTTACAGCCTTGAGTCTTGACAATCAGTTATCAGTTACTATTACTATGTTGGGGGGGTGGGGGGCGGCTTCAGTGGATTGGCACCAAAATATAGTTAATTTTAAGAGAGCAGTTGATTAAATTCCACATGCCTATAAATTAATTCTTGACCCTGAGAGATACATAAATATTCCGAAAGACTAGCAAACAAACCAAGCATCTCATACGAATTGACGCTGGGCTAAAACAGGCTGAAGTTTCACAATATATTCTAAGGGAGAACTATTATTCTCAAATATAATCAAATATTGCATTCACCATAAAATGACTAGACAATATGAAGACAAACTTTTAAACTATTCAGGATTTAGAAACTAATGAAACGCATAATCACAAAATTACTGTATAAAGTTTTTCAACTTGTCTGCTCAATCTATCTTACGCCTCCCACTCACTAAATTCCTTCGGCCTAAGTTTCCTGGCTTCCAGAGGAGTGCTTCCGGCAATTATATGAAGTGAAGAGGTGAGGTTGAACAATGTCACTGCCTTATGCTCAGTATTGGGGGCAGTATCACCATGCTTAACCTAAGGATAGGTTTCAACCTGCTCTGGTTTTTGCGAATAGTTTTTTATTAATTAATGAAGATACCAGTTTCTATTCCAAACCCGAAAAAAGGGTTATGAAGTGTTGCGCGTAACCATAACTTCCCGAATTCCCAATTCACTTTAACGCGTCGTAGGGTCCTTGAGCCACGAGATGCAACCTCCTTGGGCCGTAGCAGAGATTACGACGTGATGAATCATGAATGAGTTGTAGCAGTCATCTCATATGGAGCCGAAGGGTAGAGACAAGTGTGGAGTTATCATAATAAGCTAATAACCTGGTTTAGTCATGTATTTGTCAAATTTATGGAGTCTGGTGTGCTTGATGTGTCAATTTTATTCATCGTCCGCTAGCGGACCCAACATCTCAATTCATTTCCTCTAACTCGCTTGCATGCACAGAAAGACGAAAGCGAAGATAAGCAACAAAACAGAAGAAGTTTTACATCTAACCATTTCCCCCCCTTTCATTTGTTGCGATTACGTAAAGCAATCGTTATCCGATGCATAAAACATACAAGGAAATAGAATCTAAAGCAAGAATCTGGTTTAGCAACACAAAGCAGCAAGGGCAAAATGCTACGAGTTCTTATAGGGAGCTGAAGAGAGAATCCTGCGTGAATCAGAGGCCAAATGATTTGTTGGATAATCTGCGCTTGTAGCGTTTAAGAACAGAGGCCAAATTTTGCTTTCCCCTTGGGAAAGCTACATCGCCTGCAGCAGTTCCTGTGCGTCCTTTACGAGAAGAGATTGCAGTTTCCACATCCTTTATGAGGTCAAGCATCATTGATGCAGTGGTCAATTTCCCCTTGCCACCTTTCGCAGCAGGGGGAGGGGGTAACACTCCGTTCGAGAAAGTAGGGCTCGACTTTAGCTGGTAATCTGCTGGAATTTGTAGGCAAGAGCATGGGAGCATCACATCACGACGCTTTGAGAAGGCTGGATCAATTATACCCTGCACATGAAAGCAAAATCAATTAAGAGGCCAGGGGAATGCAGGAACCAACAAGGATGAAATGAGAAAAACGAGCTATGCCAGCAGATTAAGGTAAGCAACAAATACCCATTTTTGGGTATTAGTCAACACTCTACAGCTAGCATCCACAATTGAGTGCATGTGCAAGCAAAAAGAAACTGAAACTCAACTGATTCCATATCAAAAATATGGAAAATTCGTTGGGCTTACCTGGAGGAGGTTGAGTACATATGTGTATTTCCCCCACAGCTCAGGGCGGCTCTCCATGAGTGAAAGTTCAAGGATACGGTGAATACACCACACCCCAAAGCTTATGATCAAGTCAGATCTCCATATACAACCCTTCCCACAGCGAGTAAATGATGTCACCGAAAAATTAGAGGAGTTTGTCTCCCTAGTTTCAACTTCATAGAGGACCCTTGCAGCTACACGATCAATTAGGTCCTCATCAACCCCACCATTCTGTCTAAACAACCAATCAGACCCCTCCAATTTTAAGAGCCTGATAATGCAATGTCTGAAGGACTGAAGTTTCACCTCTTCCATATCAACAATTGAAGCAGTCTCTTGTGAAATTGAACTAGGCCGAGTTCCAGCACCTTCCATTCCAACATTATGGCTTTTATCTGCAACACCAAACCGCTCGAAAGGCTGTTTTGACCAGAGAGATCCAGAATCAGAATCAGAACCCAACTGTGATGGGAGGGCGCTGTAAACTTTTGAAGAAGAAAGTTCATCAAAGGGCAAAGGTGCTCCTCTTCTGGATCTCAAATTTGAATACAACGGTTCATAACTAGTTCCAGCAAATCCATATATAGAACCCCCAAACGGGGAATTCTTATTAGAAGCATAAACATCCCTGTGGGGTATACCACGTCCTGAAATATCTGGCAAGCTGTGGTATCTTTTTGTATTGACTGAATTGCCTACATTATCTGCAGGTCCAGGAAAGCGAAAATCATAGCGCGATGTCTCAGATGGCAATGTGGAGTTTCTAGAGATTGTGATGTTTTCAAATCCTGGGGGTCGAGCTGCAGCTGCACCATTTTGCAAGTTTTCCCCATAAGAAAATGTAAGTGGATCCCTATAGCTTGTATTAGCGGCTGTTAAAGGAGATTTTAATGATGACAGTTCACCTTGACCATTTAAATTATCTGGAATTCTGTCTCTTCCACCTCGACTAAGATAGGATGCAATTTGATAACCATGTACCGTTGCTGGCTGACTATCCCAAACCTCAGATGAATGCAGGTTGCGCACACTGGAATAGCGCCTCTCCCCAGAGTCAAGAACCTTGCGACTCAAGTTCTGCACATATGTATCTAAAAACTCTCGGCGGTTTGCCTGAAAAGATGAGGAACTCCTCTGAGGGCTATGTAAAGGTTCAAAAGTACTTTGTATCCTGGGACACTTGGGAGAATCATAAAGACTCGAGTTCATCAAAGTATCTGATGCTCTACTTCCAACTGATGCTCCATACTCAGAACAGTCATTTCCAGATGCATTTACTTTCTGCAAGGAACTGGAAAATCTCAAATCTACACCAGACAAGACATCCAATTTCTTTGCCCTTGCATCCTGGGTTGCTTGTCCATGGTAATCATACAGTTGGCCCCAGAATTCATGAAGAGTATCAGCTAGTTGGCGCCTTGCAGCACGTCCTAAGCCAGCTAATCTTGACAGACTTCCAATGCTATTCCCCCCTTCATCACTTTTCCCACTAAGACTCCTGAATGACGCAGGACCATCTGATGTTGAAGATGAAGCCTCTGTGCTAGCCACTTTGGATGATTCTTCAGCTTCCCAAGAGTCCCCGTCATCATCATCCCTCTCAGCATTTGTATCTGCCTCAACTTCCACAGTCTTCTCAACGGGGCACTTGCTTCCAGTTCTTCAGTTTTGGTGGCCACCAATCCAGCATCAGAAATCTCATTTGCAACAGTTGATAATGCCTCTGAATTTGAAGTGGAAACTAACTCCTTGGCAAGATGCTTTGGGGGACTAGGCAATTGTGTAATTGAATGACTCTCTTCTTCTGTAGTCACATGAAGCTCTGAAATCTCCAAGTCTCTTGCTACAGTTGAAGATGGTTCCTTCACCACAAGAGGTGCATCTCTGTGACATCTAGCTTCAGTTAAGTCCGACTCCTGACTCCCAATTGGTGAAACTTGTATGGCCTCTGCCTCATCACAGTTCCAAGCCTGAGCATCTAAATGGGCACTCGCAGATTTTAAAGGTGTGATAGCTAGCCAAAGCATCAAGCCAAATGATACACAGGCAGTTATAACAAGAACTGAATAAGAGGCAGACATGCCACCAGCCACATTCCATCTCAAAGATTCTGCCCAATTGCTACTGCCAAATATCATTTCTACGACAAAGATAATATTTAACCCAAGTATTCCAATAAATAATATCAATGCCAAAAACTCCACAAATTGAGAGACCTTGTGAACACCCATTATTGATTTAGATGTAGCAATTCGGAAAAGGGGGATCACAGAAGATGGAAGTTGCAAAGCTACCACGACCTGACTGAATACAAGCAGTTGATACATCCCTTCAGCACCTTCACTCCAAACACAATAAAGGGCAGGAAGAACAGCAATCACCCTGATTGTAGCATAATGAAGCCAGCCTGGAATGTCTAGTTTCAAAAAACTATGTACAACTACTTCCCCCCTAAACTCCATGCCAATGCTGTGGTCTGATTTGAAATAAACAAAAAGAGAAGAAAAGCAGATAGTGCCATTGGACCTTGCCACACCTGTAATAAGAATCTTAAGTTAGACTTGTTTAGCAAAGTAAAAGACAGATGTGATAGCATAAGTAAAAATTCTAATGTATATTAAGCATGGAGGGAAACTCAACCTGTTCCATCGATGATAGTGCATCTTGAAAAGGAAGCAAACCAAGACCAGTACCATTGAACTCATTTGCAGCAGCACTCATAATCATATTGTTTACCAAATAAATGCCACTGAAGACACAAAAGATTGCTACAAAATGGTTATGACACATAGCATCCTTAGAGAAGTTTATTGATCCCCGATGCCACTGCAAAACAAGTGGATGAAGTTTCAGACTGACAAACCTAAATATCCAAGATCAACAACTGCATCAATATGAAGCAGCACACAAGTACACTCTTTCCCCTTCCAGGTCTGCATATAATGAGAAGTTTGAGAAGGAAATCAAACTTAAACTCATCATACAAACTCCAATGAAAATGCGCTCTATTTTGATATTTTATTTGAATATTGCATGTTAAGGAAAAAAACCTTCAAAGAAACTCTTAACTAAAATTCTGTATTTGTAGCAATATTATAAAAGTGTGGTCCACTGCTTTGACTGTTTTCCAGTCAATGCCAGAAAATTTACTGATTCAGGATGCGTGTCAATTAAAGGGGCTGCCTACATGAAATTAACCATTAACTTAATATTAAGTAATAAAGGTCTGTCAAAGCCATGCTCAAAACCATTTCAAAATCTTACAACATATGTATATAATACAGTTATATACAATAAGCATGAGTTCCTATGTTGTCCATAGTTTGAAAATTAAGCCACACTAATTATGACTCATGATTAATATGGCTTATTAAGTTTTACATTATATATATATATATATATATATAGAAACAAAGACAGGTGTAACTATGAAAAATAGAAACGGTCCAAAATACATCCCATCTTTATTATAGCTGCAGATAATCCCACAAAAGAACTGTTATTGTTTTGTAACCTGCAAACTACCATTTTCTTCCCTTCTATAGGGGAAAAATCTAAAACTTGAGCATGGCAACTTAATTGCAATAACCAGATATGTAGAAATGAAGCCACATCAATGACACTCTCATATGAAAACTCTAATGTCAGATGGAAACAAGACTATAACAGCAGCTTGAAATGATTGAAAGTAAAGATCTCAAAATATACCAGGTTTTCTGAATGAACCAAACTACTCATTGTCATAATTCTTAATCATTGATATTTTTCATCAAGCAAGCATTCGTTTTAGAAGTATAGAGCATTAAAGATGAATCAGAAACATGCTTAAAAGGTAAGTACACTAAGTATGCAAGATGTAGTAGTATGAATAACATCAGGCAGAAGTATATGATTCAATGGAGACAGGCAAAACATGCCAAGAAAGGGGCAGCGAATCAGACAAAGGAGGGTATGCTTCCGCAACGCATCCTCTACATATTAATTGCATATATAGAATCACAATATGATAATTCAATTTGGCTCCTTTTGAGACAACTTTCATTTAAACCAAACTCAAAACGCCATAAAACTTTAGGTTCAAAGTTGTTACATGCCAAAAAGTTAGACCAACACACCCTTAGTTACCAATAAAAATATTCCATGTCTTTTCTCATTATTTCTTTCTTTCTTGTGTTCCTGTTGTCCACGATACTAGAGAGTATGAACATAGCAGTGACAACCAATAATCATACTTTGAAGAATATTATAGTACAAGCTAGGTAGTTTAATTGGAGAAAGACTAAAGGAGTTATCTACGATCGAAAGGTACAAAATAAACTTAAAGGAAAGTTTTATCGAACTGCTACAAAACCAACAATATTATATGATAGTGAATTTTGGACTTTAATGGGACAGTAAAAGCATAAAATTGAAGTAGCAAAGATAAAAATGTTGAAATAGGTGTATGGACATATACGTAAAGACAAAACCCAAAATGAGTGTATATGAGAAAAAGTGGGTGTCACACCTATTGAAGAAAAAATGACAGAAAATCATTTGAGATGGTTTGAACATGAACAAAAAAAAAAACCACAGGAGGCACCTATGAGAATAGTAGAACAGATAACTTTAAATCCTATCAAGAAGGATAGAGGAAGGCCAAAAAAAAAAAACTTTTGAAAGTTATTGATCAAGACCTCTTACTTAATATTTCTAAAAGTTTAATAAATGATAGAACACAATTACGTCATATAATCCACGTAACTGACCCCACCTAGTGGGATAAGGCTTGCCGCTACTGTTGTTGTACAGTATAAAATTCAGACCAAACACTCTCAGTAAATGTAAAGACTCCCATTACAATTATAGATTTTAGTTTAGGCATTTAATAGTGCAACTGCATCACAGAAGCAGCAGTTTTCATTACTATGCCTGCCGGTAGCACTCAGCTGGTTTGACTAGGACTAGATCATCATGACCATTATAATGAATGGCACACTGTATCCCAACAAAATTATGTAGTCACCAAGATAGTGCCTTCCATTAGAATATATACCTGTGCCATACTGGACAATTAGTCAACTTCTTCCAACGATGTAGCATCACTTTCAGAACAAAGCAATATCACAATGACCTTCATTTCCATAATAAGGGAACTCGAGATAACTAAGCTTAACTCTCAGGTGCTTAAGAAGGTATATGAAACCAGTAAATGGATCCATACACGAGCACTAGCCAGTACTGGCAGATACAATAATATACTAATACACATAGCCTGAGTCGCAGTCTAAGCATCGATTCATTTTGACCATTCAAATTAGCAAGGGTTCTGGAGTTAACAACATAAAACTCAATTGAATTTATCAGATAACTGAAACCATTAAACATTGCTACAATTTCAATTAATTCAGACTACATATTTGTATATATTTAACTCCCTGTGAAAAATAGCTTACTCCAAATTTGATGTAATAGTGGCAAGACTAATCACCAATCAGTAACCATTAATAAAGTGATCTTGGCCAAAGTCTAGAAAATAAGATTATTAATAGCAGGCTGAAAAGGACAGCCTTTAGTTAGTCTGTGGAAAAAGATGAAATTTATAAGTACAAAATGATCAGCATGCCCGATGAACTTAGACATACAATAACAGCAACAAAAAACCTTATCCCACTAGGTAGACTCAGCAATGAACTTAGACATGTGATCAAAGAAAAATACTGCTTACACAGCATGAGAAGCACGCATGCACACAATTTCAAAAATAGGACATGATTGGAAGAATGGATATGCATGTTTCAGTACGTATGTATATAAGAACTATGAGAATTGGAAAGAATCAGTACCTGTACAACAGAGGAATAAAGATAAAAGTTGTGGGGTACAAGAGTTGCTCCCAAAAGACTCATAAGCACAAATGCATTCTCCCCAGTCAACTTTGTTAGTACTCCACTTGTGGATACTAGAATCTCAGGTCGATTTATTATTACCCCGAAAGCAACAAAAAGCAGAACAAAACCAGCAATAAACAGGCCCAGGACTTTTGCCTTCCCATTCTCCTAGAAAGATGGAAATTTAGTAAGTCACTGTTGATCAAACAAGTGATGAATAAGCAATTAATAAGACTTACAAGAAGGATGGCAAGAAGCAGGTGAAAAGCAGCACTAGTGGCAGCCAACAAGACACAGGTGAACAAGTCCCACCCAAAAATTAGATTTAATAAGTGAGCCATGCCCAGGATCTTGCAAAGCAAGTAAAACCATTGTCAAAGCCAAACCAAAAAGAAAAAAAGAAAAAGAATATTTCAGGTTACAGAAGCCAAATCTCCGATTATTAGAAATATTGAAATTATTACCACATTAAGGTCTAGCATAATCACTGAAAGTTCCGTTTGGATTCCAAGGAACATGCATGTCCATGCACCATACTCATCTCTGCAAATCTTTGACACAGAGAATGGAAAATTAGTCTATAAGCATTAAGCACCAACCAATTTTGTGGATGTTCTAGATTTGCTAATGCAAGCATCAATTTGGTTTGAGTCTATGTCAATTTGTATTTCAAGGTGGAGTTAGAGAGAATTGAGCAGTCAAGCTTACCACCACCCCCTCCAAAAAAAAAACAAAAAACAAAACAAAAAAACAAAAGAAAAGAAAAGAAAAATCTACATTCAAGGTTACATCAGATGGAATGTTCCAGAAGGACTCAATTCGGAAAAACAAAAATTGAGAGATTAAAAATACTATTACTTCTGTGCAAAAAAAAGGGGGGGAATTTATGATACCATCTCCGTTTTCCCCTTGTTTTCTTCATAAAGGTAACATAACATATAAACAAGAGAGGAGAAAAGAAATGAGGAAACAAAGACAGCTGGAAAGGATTACCTTATTCTCTATAATTCATTTTAATATGAATGAAACAACTAATAAGAGTACTTTCTATGCTTCCAAATTATGCCTACATGGGTGGAATACAACACAAAAAGGGCCCATAATGAATTTCCATAAAGTTATGACTTAACCTGTTAAACATTAAAATATGTACTAGTAAAGATAAAGATGAAATCATGTAACCAACAGACATTGGTCATAATGAAAGAGGTGATGTTCACTTAAACATATGATGTCTTAGGTTTAAGTCCGTGTGAATATAAAAGATGCCTGGAGAGGGCTAACCCCCCTTTGGATCTGACAATACTCAAATTTGACGTGCACATATGAGGTACTATATTTGGGAGGGGGGAGGAAATGATGAAATCATCTAGTTTCTTTTAACCTTCTGTCTACCAACCTCTGGCCACCCATATTTCAAATAATAAGAGTACTTTAGTTCATTTTTTCCCACTAATATGCACTAGAATTGGAAAGGCAAATTGACGATATGGTACCTCTGCAAGATCTTTTCCAGTAATTACACCAATCCTAGCTGATATGTACTGACATAAGATAGCAGCAAAATTGAAGACAAGCATGAATGCCATCAAATCAAATCCAAACCGCACACCACCTTCAACTGTAGCAGCCCACTTTCCTGGGTCAATGTATCCCACTGAGATCATAAGCGTAGGTGCAATAACATGAAGGGATCGAAGAAGAGATGAAGGCAGGTGGTTAGCATTCATTGTCTCTGCCTCCATTTTGTTGTTCATCGCTTCCAACATTAAGGGTTCACAAAATTATTAGACCTTGAAGTTGCAACATTCGTTACTAAGTCATATATTAATTGCATTGCTGTCCGCCACCAGTTTTTTGGTATCAAAAGTGAACAACTCATCCATCACCAGCCATTCATAGAAAAGTCAACTGCTTCAATAATCAACTTTCACTTGTTAGAACTCTGCTGGTTAAAAAACTGAGCCTGTGGATTGCAATCTCAACAATTGAACAATAGCTTCTCCTTGTATGCTAGCCCTTTATCTCACATTAACCATCAGACACCAATCTGGTTTTATTTTGAATTAAACCAACAGCCTTTGCATTTTCATTCTATCCCCACTACCAATTTTACTCATGACTTTAAGTCCTAAACATGACTGAAAGTCAACCCAATATATGACAAACTTCTTGAAGACCTGTGGACAAAAGGGCCTAATGATCCGTGATTGATCCAATCGCTGCCTCCTCAGACTTCGCCAATCCTGTAATTGATTGATAAATGTAACAATATTATTACCAGAAAGATAGTGAAAGTACGACTGCTCCTTTTGGAGAATTCAAATAGGATAGGATTAAAAGAAACGCTCAAAAAAGACAATTGCAGAGGGAAGTTGTATGCAGTTTGAACTCTGCTTTGACTCCTACACTAAAAAGGACAAAGCAACCAAGTACTACAAAAAAGTAAAAGAAAAATTATATCCAAATATCTGATAAGGCTTCCTTACAGAATTCTTATATAAAAAGCGTTAGATTTAACAATCCTCATAACTACAGAAGTAAATACGAGATCATCCCAGCAAAGTAAAAGGAAATAAGGAATGATCAAATTCTTACAAGGCTTCACAGAGAGGACAAAACATAAAAACCAGTAAAATATAATCAAGTTCCCGAAGAGAGAAAATAACGTTCAGAAACGAAAAAAATGCAGCTCCCAGTTAAAGGGCAAAGGCAACTTAAAACCCTATATTTAAAGCATGATTAACTAAAAAAGAGGAAATGAACACGCTACCCTGGATCTGATGAATGCCGATGAAGATATTGAAGATGAATTTATCAAATAAAGACCGTACAAAGTAGCTAGGGTTCTGAAATTTTGACGCTTTCCTGCTCACCTGCAGTCTTCGTTCACTGCTGCGAGTAGATCTCAGAGAACCCGAATAACCCACTTGATCATGAGATAAATAATGAAATTGGATATGATATGATAATATTATATAAAGAGAGAGAAGAGGATAGATCCATTTTCCGGGAAAGCAGAAAGAGACACAAAATATTATGTGTGGAGTTTCGAAACCACAGTGAGGAAAGACACAGGCCGGGTGTAGCCAGGAATTGTATTATTAAAATACAAAATATAGTCTCCTAAGTATTTTTGTAAGAATTAAAAAGACATAGTTAAAAATCAATTGTATTATTAAAATGATAAAATTTTATTACTATTTTTAATATTATTTTCTAATTAAAATCAACTTATTTTAATTATTTTAAATTTATTTTTATATAATCTTTATCTGACATTAATAAAAGTGTTTGTGAAAAATATTCGATATTATCAGTTTTTGTAAAGTATTTTATATTTAATACCATAAAAATATTGTGCAAAATGTCTTGTAATAATGATGGGCAAGAATATAGTATACATTTATTTATGAATTAAATTGAATTGAAAATTAATATGCAACACATTAAGAGCAAAATAACAATTTCTTAACAGTACCACTTGATTGGCTTTCACTTTTGTTTGATAATTTTGTAGCTTCTGTGTAAGATTAATGCACAGCTTATTCTGGTTTTTTGCTCCATACAAAAAATAGATAACGTTCTCTTTATTTTTCTTTTTTCTTCACAAAAAATTTCCGTTGCGTAGTAGCTATCTAACCGGATGTTTTCATACTGTCCTTTATCCAAAAAAGGAAGAAAGAAAAAGAAAATAAATATCTTGTCCTTTTTTTCTGAGTTTTGCTACATTAGCTATTCTTTCCTCCATAAAAATATTTAGATAAATTAAGTACATCATATCATTAATAGTTTATTTAATAAAAATATAATATTTAGATAATATTAAATATAAATTGACTATAATAGTAATGATAATTGAAAGAAAAAAGTTAAAAAAATTAAATGTATAGTTTATTATTAAAAAATATCACACTAAATTTTATTTAGATATTTCTCTACACTTTAAAGAAATATAATTTCCTTTATTAAAAAAACAAGAAAATAAATATATTATTATTTTTGTGTTCATGGACAAAACCTTACTACGACCACTTTCAAAAAATGTAAGAATGATTCGATGGATGGTGGTTAATAATCAATAGACTCTTCCATTCCATCAATATATATGAATTTTTTACAAGTAATTTATTCTTTTGTCAACTTTTTTAGGTATTTTTTAACCCCACATTTGTTTTTATTCCCAAGTTAATTCCATGTTTGAAACTTGTTTATTATATTCTCCCTTTGATCCTCTCTATAAATCATTTTTACCAACTTCATCAATAATAATACAATAAAAATATAAAGAATAAGAATAAATAAAATTTCAAATATGATTCTCAAATAAAAAGAAAAAAATAAGCTAATCATATAATATTATTTCTCTCTCTCACACTTTTTAAGGATAATTTAAAAATTTTAATTTAAAATAAAATAATTTCATCAACTAATGACTTATAAAGTAGACTAAATTATACTTTTAAAATGTACCTGATATATAGGATTGGAGGAGTACTATTCTTAAGTTTCAAGTACATGTTATCTTTTATTTGTATTTTAAATGCATGAACGCATCTAAGCAAACAAAAGAAAGAAAAGCTATTTCAAAACTGTATAATATCAATATTAGGGCGTAAATAGAAATCGCATTATAAAATTTAAAGTTGATAATAAGTTGTGTTATTTACAAGTGATAAATGCAATTTGTATTCTTGAAACTCATGTAACTATAACATTTATGGGATAATATGTCCAATCATAACATAACTTTTTTGTCCAAAACATGACAATGTAACATAACTTTTAAAAGCAATTATCATATCATTTGCTATTTCTCTTTACCAGAGAAAAAATATTTGTTACGTCTCATTAAGTGTGAAAAAAATTTTGGTGAAAAAACTGAATTATCTTATTACTACAAAACACACGAAACCTTTTCTCAGTTTCATCTAAAACATCTTACTTTATCATTAGAATCTGAAGTCAAATGACAGATGCAAAACAACGCAGGTGGGCAACAGGGCAAGTAAACACAGAAGCATGCACGGCGCTCCATTGTAGCCACGGGCTAAATGTACCCTTTAAGTTTGGAAAAAATTATAAAAAATGTTCATATATTTTAATATTTTACACCTTTTAATTCAATTTGAAAGACTTTGGATTCAAAATTTTTTAATTATTTTTAAATTATTGATTTTAAAAATGTTACCCTTTATTACCTAAGATCTTAGCACCATCATTGCACATAAGTAAAATGCACATCATATCTTTGATCTGAAATAAAAATCAAAATATTTCATTGATTTTGAGTTTTTTTTATTGCAAAAGTGACTAAAAAAATTGATTAGATGCACGGCAGTCAAGATTAAGGCTAAATTTTGACAATCTTATATTAGAGAGGCATTTAATGCTTATAAATGAACATTCTATGTAAAATATATTTTTTATCAAAATTTTATATAACATGAAAAATGCAGAACAATACAGATACGCAAGTATGCGTATAAGTAAAATATATATCGCATCGTTGGTATAAAACCAAGATGAATGGATTTCAAAGATTTTGAGTTTTTTTTTTTTTTGCCATAGACGTAATTAACCAAAATAATTTGATTTTGGCTGCATGACAATTAAGATTGAGCCTGAATTTTGATTATCTTTTGTTAAAGAGGGCAGTTAATGCTTACAAACAAACATTCTAATATATGCACACAAACATCATAGTCATGGATGTAACTTGTACCCTCGCAGTCAAAATTGATGCAACTAAAACATACATGAGGCAATATGGTCAATCATAACACAAAACCAGTTATATGCATATATCCACAACACTTGCAAAAAATATCCGTTATCTTACTTTACTAGAAAAAAAAATATTTTTTACTCTTCATAAGTGCAAAAAAATAGTCAAAATTTTTAAAAAATAATTATCATACCACTACAAAAAAAAAAACACACAAAACCCTTTTCCATTTCATCTAAAAACCGTTAAAAAATTGCTATCAAAATTTGAAGTAGCGTGACAAATGCATTACAATACAAATAGGTAGGTATACTTATAAGTAAAATATATATCATATCGTTGATGCAAAACTAAGAGGAATATGCATTTCAAAGATTTTGAGACTTTATTACAAATGTAGCAAAAATGGCAGTTTGATTGCATACATGACAATTAAGATTGAGGCTAGATTTTAATGATCTTTTACTAGAGGGGCAGTTAATGCTTATAAATGAAAATTCATTGGGTATAAATAGCATGCGCTGAATAATTAACAAGAAGTCAATATTAGCAATTTATAAAAAGTATGATTTATTATAAGACTCTGCGATACACAAGCTTAATTATCTAGTTAAAACATACTTTCTCTGTTACTATATATAAAGTAAAAAAATTATATTACATAATTTAAAAAAATTGATCATCCATAATAATTATGTCTAAAAATAAAGAAATTAGACTAAAATAGTAAAATGCTCTATGTTAATTAACATAAATATGTATTAACTATTTTTTATTAATATAAATTATGAGGATGATTTAAAAAATATGTAATAAATGCTTATTAAAATATATAATTTTATTTATATAAAAAATAAATAAAAATAATTTTTTTTTATAAATAAAAATAGAAATGCAGGGAGTACAACGTTATGGGCTCAAGAAATATGTAATTCAATACAGCATTTTTGTCAAAATAAAACAAATGAAAGGATTCTGACGCAAATTGACAACTCCTAGGATCGAGCTTGGATAAAGGGGACAGCACTTTTCATTCCTAAAAATCCGAAAAAGGTTGATGGGATTATCCAAAGACCAAAATCACAGGATAAATACGAGAAATGCTTAAGCACTAGAAGAAGGGACGAAAGATATTAGGAGAATTACAAAAGATTCCAAAACAGAAAATTCATTATAGTTATAATTTTTTTAATAAAAATAAGTTATAAATAATAATCTAAATAAGTTATAAATAATAATCTAAATGGTTGCAAGCTGAAATTTCAATTGTAAATTAAGAATTATATTTAAAATTCAAATATCTTACTTGCAGTTAGAGCTCCAACATTTATAATTATTTAAATTAATATTTATAATTGATTTTAAAAAAAATATGGAAGAAGTAACTCCATAAATTTATTATTTTGGGATTTTAATAACCTTCTTCTAGATATATCCAACACATTTATCTATTTATTTAAATATTTTATTTGCAATTACAATTTCAAGATTTATAACTATTTAAATCAATATTTATAATTAATTTTTAAAAAAATTTATAAGAGATTTAACTGTCAAAAATTTTATGTTCATATTTCTGTGTATTAGTGGACCCACTTTGTAAGAAGATGTGAATAATGAGTGACAAAACGATTAAAGCGAAATGTCTGGGACTCAATTGCCTCAACATACGGTGGGATGTTCCTAGCCTCAAATAAAACATATAAATTATTCTTGGCTTTCATGTCATAAAATATAATCATGTGATTGTGAAGTATTTTATAAGGAATTTCAATTGACTACAAAAATAAGGTTCCACGCTTATAAATTATCCCGAAAAATAATCAACGAAATCAGTTAACTCTCCTATGGCAGGACTAGTTTTTTTTTTTTTTTAAGGTATGGAACCAGTTCTTAAACAAATGATTCGATGAGGTTTTTTCTTTGAATAGGAACTGAAACTACATTAACAACTAACAAAAACAGCAAGGTCAATAAATTACATTACACAACAACTTCTAAGAAGTATAAAAATCACTATGAATATCATGGGAGAGCTTAGCAAGGCAATAAGCGCATTTGATAGCTTCCCGATATGAATATTGAAAAGAAATATGACAATCCCTTTTGAAGAAGAGCCTTACTAATTCAATAATGTCACTGAATGGGTGGTTGGGATGACTTCTCCTATATTAAGTCGAATGGCTTCAACACAGTTGGAGTGAACTTCAACTTTATGCAGCCCTATTTGCCAACATACATTAAGACCATCACTAACTACAAATACTTTTGATATAGCCAATGGAAAATCATTGGTTTTACAAGA